GTAGGCAGGCAGGGTGCAGGCAGGCAGGAAGGCTGGGCTCGCAGTAAAAGCCCAAGAAAATCAGTGTCAGATTCAATCGCAGGAATGGAAATTTCCTGAATCCTTGTGGTTAGCATCAAGCTGGGTTTGCTGCTACACTTAGAGGAGTCACAAAGAAAAGCCACCAAGTCTTCTCATGTCGGCATTCAAGGATCCAGAGGCAGGGACTAGGGCACCTGTGGCCCAGAAGTGTGGCTTAAAGAGGAGCCCAGCTTCGTAGTGCCCTGATGCCTTTTGCAGAATCCAGAGCACATGTTCTGGAAGGTTCACAGGCTCCTGGGCTCCCGTTGCATCCCCAAAATGGGGAGGAGCCAAGCACCTGCTCAGCCAGCCACGTGGAAATTCAGAGCCTGCCCTGCCAAAGAAAACACCCCTGGTTGGCCCCCACCCCTACCCCCAGCATTCGTGCTCAGAAGGACCTGTCTCTTCCCGCTCAAGGCCTGCCAACCAGATGTGGGCCTGAGTGATAGCAGGGCAGGCCCAAGGAGCCAGGGGACCATTTGATCTGCAGTTAGGACCTGGGCACACCCCACCTTCTCTGCCTACTTCCTCTTGACAACTGCACAGATGAAAAGCACTTTTAGAGGAAAAGGGTCCCTCAGTTCATCTTCATGCCCTGAATGACCAGATCGTCAAAGGGTGCATCACTTCGGAAAGGTTTGGCTGCGCCAATGCCATCGCTCTGGAGCAGTTAGCTTCACTCTTGCTTTAGGAGCCAAAGTTCGGAGTGGGGTACAGAGTACAGTTACTCTAAGTGTGGACATTATTTCAAACATGTTTAGAGCAGGGAGACTACAATGAAAAGGTATTTGGAGGACACCATGTGACAGCAAAGCCATGAGACAGAGGAGAGAGTCTTACTCCCCAGCCACCCCCATACAATACAGCCCCCAGCCAGGACTGCTGCTTCTGATGTCAGAACCGGGCTGTGGTCTCTGCTCAGTTGAGGGCTGTCTCTGAGCCTCCAGACCCTCTCTCCATGAAATGGCTGGCGATGTCTGACAGCGGTAGGAAGGATAGGTGGAGCCGAGAATGGAGGTGGGAGAGCACTGTCTGACGCTCTCTGCATAGCCTTGGGGAACACCCTGGGGGTCAGAGGTTAGAGGCCCACACCAGGGCCCCCTTCACCTGCACACACTGGTTGGCCTAGTACTCATTCTACACTGTCCAGGTTGGCTCTTCTGTCCAGTCAGGGAAAAGGCTGCCCTCCAGTTATCCTTTCCTGTTGAGAAAACCCATTAGTACTCATCACTTTCAGCTGGCTCTATCTGTGCCAGGCCAGGTGATGGGCTGTCTCCTTCAGCTCATCTCCCTCCAACATCCTCGCATACTGAACTCTAATAAAACGATAACGAAACCATAAAATGCCATAGTGAAGAAGATGGGAGGAGGGTCATCAACGGACGAGGGTTTTCAAGAAATTTGAAGAAGACAGGAGGTAGATGGTGGAATGATGACTGACAAGCATAGAATGGAAAGCCACCGCCTAGAATAAAAATGCCTCAGGAATGCTGGAGCTGATACAGAGCAGGTCCACAAGGCAGAACCGGGCAGGGGTTCAGGATTTGAAATACCAGGTACCACAGAAATCAGAGTGATAAAATGGTGCAAAAAATGGGGACGGCTGAAAGAATTGCTCACAATGGGCCCACCTTCCCCACCCTCCAGCCATTGCCTGGCAAAAGAGCTTGGACCCAAGCCAAAATAGGGAAGCTCATCTTTAAAGATTCTGCCCCTTGTGAAAATGCAACAAGCAGTAGAATGGAGCGTCCTCTAAGCTGTTCTTGGTGCTGAATTTATACCTTAAGGGGGCAGGGGGGTGGCAAGTGGAGAGGGGGTACCTGATCACCAAAAAATGAGAGTGATGTGCCAAGGTCTCCACCGTGCAGGTGGCCCCACTGTCAGGTAAGCCAAGGGATAAGACCTGCCCTGGCCACCTCGCCTGCTAATGCCGGGGCTGCCTTGTGCATGGCACAGCAGGGAAACACCATCATCGGGAGTGGGACCTCATCCCAGCAGACGCCCCTGGGCTCCGTACCCCAAACCGGCAGGCCATGCCCCACCAGCCCAGGGCTTCCACCCCAGCGAATCCCACTCTCTCCAGCCAGTCAGCTGCACTTGGAGCCTCTGCTTCCCTCAGACAGGATAGAGTTCACCCTCTTTGGGCTCTAAAAGCCCTACCTGTTTTCCTCTCCAGAACCTGGTCCCCAGAGCACACTGGATTCTGAGCTGGAGCAGGTGCCCTGCTTGGCCATAAAACTTTCCCCTCTGTGTTCTCTCCCGTCTCTCATAATTTTTCTTCTATAACATGCTGGAAGTCTTGAGAACACTGGGCTGTGATGAGTGACTAAGCTCCCACTTCACGCTCACAAGTGGACGATACATGATATAAAACGTAAACACGTGCGTATTTTCGAGAGAAGACAATGTGTTTGAAGCCTTCCACCATCGGGGTTTGTTGAACAGGATGTGTCAGGTATTAGAGCAGTGTGTGCACATGTTTTAATTGCAGTAAAAAAGCCTTTTTCCAACAAAGTCTTGTATGGAAGCCCAATGCACAGAACTGATTAACAAGAAGCTGCTCTGACAGAGCAGGGGAGGGGAACGAAGGCCCATCTGCTCAGCTCACCATCCCTTCCCTCCTTGTGGCCCAAGTGACTTCCTAAAATGAAATTTCCAGGGAGCACAGTTAGCAACTCAACTCAGAACAACTAAAAAGCTGACTATATGAAAAAAGTAAATATGTTACTTTGTAAAACGTAAAATAAAAAACATGAGCAATGATCCTTACCTGCGCACTTGTAAACACTGACCAATAGAATCCTAAGCAGATTCAGCCAGGCAGAACTCAACCCCATCTTCATCACCACCATCATCCTCGCCTACATTTAATGAGAGGTAACCGTGAGCCGGGGCTAAGTGATCCACACACATTCTGTCATTCAACCCAAACAACAAAACCACGAGGCCAGTGTTGCTATTATTCACATTTTAAAGAATTTGACCATCTCGTAGCTAGTAGGTGACAAGCACCAAGATGAAAGCCCAGGTCTGGACTCTCCCCCTTGCATGCTCTTAGCCACTGTTCCACCAGTCCCCATAATAGCACTTGTGTCCTTCTTTATGTATTTTCTGAACTTTTTACTTGTATTAACTACTTTCATAATAACAAGCCTATTTTAATTTGAGACCAAAATAAAACAGGTAGTAAAGGAGAGCCGGTTCCTTAAGTTCTAGAGAAGTGGGCAAGCCAGGAATGCCCTGGGCAACTCATCAAGCCTGGGGTCACCAGGCAGGTGACCCCCAGTGTCACAAATAGAGGGCTCAGAGGAAATTCCTCACCCCAAGCAGGCTCAGAGCTCATTAATCAGCCAGGTCCATCCAGCCTTATTCAGCTTCCTCCCTTCCTACTCATCAGAAACATTAGAAAAGCTTATTACTCTTGATATAACCAAACACTGTCATACAACTACACTGAGAAGGGAGAGAGAAGGAGGGAATGTAAATGGGATGTCAAGTAAATGTAACGTAGAATGTAATGTAAAGAAGGAGACGTGGTTTGTGGAGCCATGAGACCTGAGACACAGCAGATGGGAAGTGCCTAGTGTTGTGGGAAGAACACTGGATTGAAATAGAAGACCTGGGTTCCAACCTTGGCTCTGGCACTCCAAACTCTGTAGCCTTTGGTAAGGTGCATAACCTCTCTGAGCCCCTTTAGCCCACAAAGGGCAGGTATCCAGACCCTACATACCAACAAGATGATTAAATGACGTAGGTCCCAAGCCAGTGATACAAATTAACCTCATGGTGATGATACAAGGGGTGGGCACCTGAGCAGTCTGGGCCAGGTAGGTGAGAGCCATGGAAAGACCGAGCCCTGGATAATAGATGTAGGTGTCTTGCCTTGAGCCTAAGCCCAAGCCTCCACACTTGAACCAAAATTTCCTTTCCCCTCCATGCTGTTCTCAAGTTCTGAGACCATGGAGTATACACTAGGGTTCTGTGGACTCGAAAGAGAGGTGGGTGTCCCCCCATTTGAGGCTCACCCAGACCACGAACCCATCAGACCCTGCTGTCGGCCCTCTTGAACAAAGTCCTTCCTCAATTCTTTCCAATCTAAAAAAACTCTCCAAATTACATAGCCTTAGTACCAAACCTTAGATGCAAAAGAGAAACTTCCATTCCTTTCTCCAGGGCAGGATCCAGCTCACCACCATGTCAAGCTTTGTCACAGGTCTGGTCACAGTTATCACTTTAGGACAAGCAGGTCCAGCCTTCCCAGGAACCAGCCCAGCATGAGGCCATTTTTTCCAGGCTCTGAGCATTTAGAATAACTCACAGCCCTCGGGCCAGCTGCCAACTGCCTGGTTGCCAAGGGTCCCTTTTCCCCTTCCTCTCCCTGGAATCAGAACTTGCACTGGTTTGGGGATGGGAGAGGTCTGGCAGGTGCATGCTCCCCTGGGACTGCCAAAGGACCTCTTCCTCCCATCTCCCATGACTAGACCCACACCCCATCGGACAGCATTGTTCTTGCTGGTATGTCACCATGTGAAGAGATAGAAAGATGCCCTGTGAAGCAGCCCTGGGCAGAGAACCCAAAACAAGACTCCAGACTGGATCCAAGGCACCCCAACCAGTATTGAGATGCAATGGGGGCTTTAGTCTGGAATCTCCCCAAAGGTCCCAAGGAACATAGCCTGTCTTCCGCATAAACAGCACACAGGGGTGAACACACAGACCTGCAGATTCAATCCCCCCAAAATAAAGTTTATTCTTTGGTACTTCATATTTGGCAAGGGTTAATCATAAGGTCAATTCATACAATGCTTAAATTAGTAAACTACATCTGGATCGGAGAAAAGCTCATAGAGACCAGCTTTGATCCCATGAGCACAAGGTAAGGGACCAAAGAGGGGAGACAGCAGAGGAAGAGTTAAGAGGAGAAATTAGCCAGCCAGTGATTAAATGTTATTTTCCTTGAGTCAAGTGATTCTCATTTTATTCGTGTCCTGGAAATGATGATGAAGATTTTTTTTTTTTCATTTTGGGGAATTCTTTTTTTGTCCAATGAATAACTCAATCATCTGCTTTTAAAAGTGTTGTGCAATTTCTAAATAACAACTCTTAAAAAATCAGGCTGACACTGCCAACTCCTGCTGGTTGGGATTTTCCGAATCACCTACAGAAAGACTGCTGCTGTGCCGAGAGCCTGTCTGGGAAACTGGCCTGTATATCCTGTGCCCCAAAGCATCCATTTCCTCAAACGTGTAGCCAGGGGGCTCAGGGTATGAAGCCAGGCACCTGCCCATTTCCTTAGGAGTAAAGCTGACTGTGTACGTGGTCTGGCCCTCCACGGGGATATTTGCTCGAGGGCCAGACCAGGGGGGCTTACAGCTTTTGGTATTGATGGGTGGGTGGGGCACATAATGGGCCCGTGTGGTGGTCAGGCAGTCCAAGGGTTCTGTAGGAAAGTTCAGCTGCGGAATGGGCTTGACTGGCTCTGTGCGCTTGCTGGCCCACTGCTTGTAGTCATCCTTGGTGGTGGTGGAGCTTTCGAAGCGGCCACCCTTCTTGACCGAGAGCACTGGTCGGCAGGACTGGGCTGGGGCACCCTTAGGGTATGTGTAATGGGACTGCACTGTTGTCAGAAGGTCCATCTTTTCTTCGGGAGGGACATAGGTGATAGGAGCTTTGGAGAACACCTGGGGTGTTGGCCAAGCTTGGTACTTATCTCGAAACTCCGTGGTGTTAGAGAAAGGCGTGTCTAGAGCACAGGGCCTGGCTGGAGGTTTCAAGCTCTTGGCTGGCTCCCCCATCAGGCCCCGGTAGGCCTCTTTGTGGGTGGTGAGGCTTTCAAAGGGGATTTCACAGGGTCTGAACTTCTCCGCCTCATACACAAAGCGCTTCTCCACAGGGTGAGCCACATAGCTCATTTTGTAGTTAGTCAGATCCTCCAGGGGGATGTTACAGAGCTTAGGCACAACCGGAGGCTTACAGCTTGTGGTGTTCACCAGGCCCTTTATAGAGTAGTCATCCTGATGTGTGGTTCTACTATCAAACTTAGTTGACGCTGGCCGGTAGCTGTTGTCTGGACGAAGTAGCTCTCGTCTTGGTTGGTTCCAGGGTAAATAATCAGCTGAAAATAAAACAGAAGTGGTAATTACTCATAAATCAAGCCAATCAACCTGCATGTATTCCAAGGGGTCCCAAAGCCACAAGCCAGTCTCCAGTGAGATGTTCCTGGAGACAAAGGAAAAACAGAGTGGATCCCGGCCACCACCTCAACCAAGGGCTTGATGTTTCAACTTTATGTTATTTGTGGGTTACTGTGCAGAAGAGACACATTTACAGGAGTCTCATCACACCCATAATGCTGCATGCAGGGATTTTAGAGGGCCCACAGCCATGGGAGGATCCAGGGAATTAATTCCAGCAGAGGAGTCTGGCTTACCCTGGTCCAAAACAGTTCTGTTCCTCTATGGGGAAGGAGCCTCCTCTGAATCAGCACAGAGTGACTGGGAACACGCATGTGGGGTAGTGAGACAGGGGATTCACAGCCCACCACTGCTGGGCCAGCAGCAGGACCAACCAGGCCTCCCTGGTCATCCGTAGAGTGACTGCCACGATGTCCCTAGAGCTCACACATCTGATTCACATAAACCAAATATGGCATCCTGAGGAATAAGGGCATTGTGTTGGCTGGTGAGAGAATAACAGTAGCCACCACTTGTAAAGAGCTTATTATGTTACAGGCAGTGTTCTAAAGGCTTTCTATACTAACTCTTAATCTTCAGACAGGCCTAATAAGGTGGGTACTATCGATATGCCCATTTTACACATGGAGAAACAGAGGTACAGAAAATTTCAGAAACTTGCCCAAAGTCACTTGGCTAGAAGTAGAAAATCATGGATGCAAATCCAGATCCAGAACCCATGGTCCGACCCACTCCATTATCTGGTTCTGACAATTAAGGAACACTGACTATGGTGCCAGCCAATTGTGCTCAGGGCTTTCCATACAGACCTTATTTCATCTTCATAATAACCCTCTGTAATGGGTATGATGGTCTCCATTTTACAGATTTCCCAAAGCAAGGCTCAGAGAGGCTAAGAAACTTGCCCAAAAGTCACATGGCTAGGGAGATAAGAGTTGGAATTTAAACCACATAGTTGACCCAAAGCTGTGCTCCCATATCACAGGAGTACTATATTTCTAGATAGAATGAAGGCTAAACAAAAGACTAGTGACAAATAATCAGAAAAGATTTTCAGGAAGAAGAGAATTTCAGAATGTGTGAAAAATGAAACGGCTTGGCCAGCTATATCTAGGAGATGGTTGTCTCAAGAGGAAGCTACACTGTGGGACAGGAATGGCCAAGACAACAGGAGGCCTGCACCCAAAGGAAATCTGCCCTAGAGATGGCACCCAGGCATCTTGAGGAGATGTCCTCAGACAGCACTGCTGGGGCTTTCTGAGTAACTTCACCACACAAATCCTCAGAGCAGCTTAGAACCCAGAAATCCAGGTAAGAAAAACGGTGCCATTCAACCACCTCGACACTGCTGCCATTCTGCTCATAACACTTGGCTCACATCCAAGTCCTACATCGTCCCCATTGCGCCCATCGATTACCAGATCCAAAGTAGCCAATATGGAACCCTAGTGAACCCTCTGAAACCACAGGGAATTCTCTTACTTACAGCTTTATAAAGGGTTAGAACCAAAGCAGCTTCCCAGGAACCTTGGGTGTATATAGCCAATGCCAGTGGAGTCCGTGGGCACACTTCCTTAGACAGCTTTGTTGCGGTATGAACTGTATAACATAAATGCACCATCTTACATACACAATGCCATAACTGCTACAGAGCTATGCAACCATCACGAGAATCCAGTAACAGAACATTTTCATCACTCCAAAAATATCAAGCAAGCCCATCTGCAGTCAATCTTAATTCCCATCCTCAGGCATTAATGCCCTTTCTGAACATTTCACATAAACAGAATTGCACAATATGTAGTGTTTTGCATTTGGCTCCTTTCACTTTGCAGAATGTAACTGAGGTTCATGCCTGTTGCAGCACACATCACTAGTCCACTCCTTTTTATTGTTGCATAATACTACAGTACATGGCTATACCAAATTGTGTTTATCCAGTCATCAATTGATGGACATTTGAGTTGTTTCCACTTCTTGGCTATTATGAAATTTTCTGCTATGAACATTCACGGACAAATCTTTGTGTGGATATACGTTTTCATTTCTCTTAGGTAGACATCAAGAAGCAGAACTGCTACATTATATGGTAAACCTATGTTTAACTTTTTAAGGTACTGCAAACCTTTCCAAAGTAGATGTGCCATCGTACATTCCCACTAGCAATGTATGAAGGTTCTCATTTCTCCACATCCTCACCAATACTTATTATCTTTTTAATTACAGACATTCCAGCGGGTGTTTAGTGGTATCTCCTTGTAGTTTAGTTTGCATTTCCCTGATGACTAATGACATTGAGTATCTCTGCATGTGCTTATCAGGCATTCATATGTTTTTTTCGGTAAAATGCCTATTCAAAATCTTTTGCCCATTTTTAGGGGGCTTTTGTTGTTGTTGTTGTTAGGCATCCTGGTGCCTTCCCACCAAGAGGCACTGTGCACACACCCTGGCCTCTGGCCTCACGGGTCTCCCTCTCTGCTGGGAGAACGTAATCATGTTTAGCAGCACCTAACATTGACTGAGCGTTTACTATGACCCACACACTTCCCCAAGGGCTCTCCGCGTTGTTTGGTAAGGAAGATTGGCCCTGAGCTAACTTCTGTTGCCAATCTTCCTCTTTTTGCTTGAGGAAGATTGTCATTGAGCTAACATCTGTTCCAATCTTCCTCTATTTTGTATGTGGGACACCACCACAGCATGGCTTGATGAGCGGTGTGTAGGTCTGCCCCTGGGATCTGAAACCGTGAACCCCAGGGCACAAACTTAACCACTGTGCCACCGGGCTGGCCCCCTCATTTTTTAATCAAGCTGTTTGTCTTATTATTGAGTTATGAGTTATTTATATATTTTGGATACAAGTTCTCTATCACTTTATCTTTTCATTTTCTTACTAGTGTCTTTTGAAGCACACAGAGATTTTGAATTTTTATAAAGTCCAAATTTTTTCCTATGTCTTAGTCTAAAAGATTTATAGTTTTAACTCTCACATTTATGTCTCTGATCCTTTTTGAGTATGGTGTGAGGTAAAGGTCTAAGTTCATCTTTTTGCATGTGGATATCAAATTGTCCCAGCACCATTTATCAAAATGACAATTTTTTAGCTTTTCTGGTTTATTTGAATTTCATATGAAAAATTTAGGATCAACTTGCCAATTTCCGCAAAAAAAAAAAAAGCCTGCTGGGATTTTGATAGGAATAGCATTGAATCTATAGATCAACTTGGGGGGACCTCCATCTTGACTATATTGAATCTTCCAATCCATGAACATGGACTGCCTCACCATCTGTTTAGATATTATTTCATTTGTAATCAGCACTGTTTTATCATTTCTAGTGTACAAGTTCTACATTTCTTTTTAAAAATTTATCCCAAATATTGTATTCATTTTGAGGCTATTATGAAGAGAGCTGTTTTCTTAATTTCATTTTCAGATAATGCTAATATGTAGAAATAAAATTTGTCTATATTGCTCTTCAATAGTGATGTCTTTCCACATTCATATATTAGTTCTAGTAGGTTTTTATGGATTCCTTAGGATTATCTGCATACAGGATTATGTTGTCTGAGAATAAAGACAGTTTTACTTCTTTTCTAATCTAGATTACTCCTTCTTTTCTAATCTAATCTATTTAATTGTTTGTTTTTCTTGCATTATTGCATTGGCTAGAATAGCCAGTACAATGTTGAATGGAAGTGATGAGAGCTGACATCCCAGCCTTCTTCCCAATCTTAGGAGGAAAGCATAGAGTCTTCCTGCATTAAGTATGATGTTAGCTATAGGGTGTTTTGTGGATGCCCTTCTGCAGACTGAGGATATCTTCTTCTATTCCTAGCTTTTTGAGAGCTTTTATGGGTATCAGAGCTTGTCAAATGTGTTCTCTGTGTCTATCAATCATGGAGTTTTGTCTTTTACTTTATTAATGTGGTACATTACATTAACTGATTTACTGATGTTAAACTAACCTTTCATTCCTGGTATAAACCCCACAGCTTTATAATTACTGGTTCTGTAACTGTCTTTTCAATTAATCAAGAGAAAAGTATACATTTACCTACATAATTACCTTTACCAGTGCTCTTTATTTGTTTGCGTAGATTTGTGTTACCCTTTGGTATTATTTCCTTTCAGCCTGAAGGACTCCCTTCAGTATTTCTTGTAAGGCAAGTCAGCCAAATACAAATTCACCCAGACTTTGTTTATCTGGGAATGTCTTTATTTTCCCATCATTTTTGAAGCATAATCTTTTACTAGTTATAGAATTCTTGGTTGACAATTTTTTTCCTTTCAGTACTTGGAATATGTCATCCCACTGCCTTCAGTCCTCCATTGTTTCTGATGAGAACTTAGTTGTTATTGCCGTTTCCCTGTATGTGTTGAAGTGTTTCTCTTCTGCTTCTTTCCAAATCTTTGGCTTTGGCTTTCAACAGTTTGACTATTATTTGACCAGGTGTGGATCTCTTTGTATTTATTCTATTTGGATTGTGCTTCTTGGATGTGTAGATTGATATTTTTCAGGAAATTTAGGGAGTTTCAGCAATTAAACGTTTTTTCTGCCCCTTTATTCTCTTTCTGGGGCTCCCATTATAAGTCTGTTAGTATGCTAAATGGTCTTTCCCAAGTTTCTCAGTTTCTGTACAATTCTCTTAATTTTTTCCTGTTCTTCAGAATGGATAAGCTCTATTGATCTACCTCCATCTCCACTGAGTCTTTCTTCTGTCAACTGCTATTAAGCCCCTGTAATGAATTTATTTTGATTATTGTCCTTTCAACTTCAGAATTTTCATTTGATTCTTTTTTATGATTTCCCTTTATTGGTATTCTCTATTTGATAGACAATTGTTGTCATACTTTCCTTTATTTCTTTAAACATAGTTCCCTGTTGTTCTTTGAACATATTTATAATAGCTACTTTGAAGTAT